GTTCCCATTCCCAGTTCCCAGTCCCAGTTCCCATTCCCAGTCCCTCACTGGTTTTCCTCTCTCCAGGCGGGGTATCCATGACATGTTTCCTCTCCACCTGGCCGTGCTCTTCGGTTTCTCCGACTGCTGCCGCAAACTGCTGTCCTCAGGTGAGGGACACACCTGTGCCCGTGTGCCAGGCACACCTGGGGACAGCCAGGTCACCCTGGGGACAGCCAGGTCACGCTGTGTGCCAGGTGCACCTGGGGACAGCCAGGTCACCCTGGGGACACCAAAATCACCCTGGGGACAGCCAGGTCACCCTGTGTGCCAGGTACACCTGGGGACAGCCAGGTCACCCTGGGGACAGCCAGGTCACCCTGTGTGCCAGGCACACCTGGGGACTCCAAAATCACCCTGGGGACTCTGACATCACCCTTGGGGACAGCCAGGTGATCCTGGAGACACTGACATCACCTTGGGGACAGACAGGTGATCCTGGGGACACTCAGGTGACTCTGGTGACACAGAGATGGCTCTGATGACACCCGGGTGACCCTGGTGACTCTGGTGACACCCAGGTGACCCTGGTGACACAGAGGTGACACTCAGGTGACCCTGGTGACCCTGACGTGACCCTGGTGACACAGAGGTGACCATGGTGATACACAGGTGATCCTGGTGGCACTCAGGTGACCCTGGTGACACAGAGGTGGCCCTGGTGACACAGAGTGACCCTGGTGACAGAGAGGTGACCATGGTGATACACAGGTGGTCCTGGTGGCACTCAGGTGACACTCAGGTGCCCCTGGTGACAGAGGTGACCCTGGTGACACAGAGGTGACTCAGGTGACCCTGGTGACGCAGAGGTGACCCAGGTGCCCCTGGTGACACAGAGGTGCCCCTGGTGACACAGAGGTGACTCAGGTGCCCCTGGTGACACAGAGGTGACTCAGGTGACCCTGGTGACACAGAGGTGACTCAGGTGACCCTGGTGACACAGAGGTGACACTCAGGTGACCCTGGTGACACAGAGGTGACTCAGGTGCCCCTGGTGACACAGAGGTGACTCAGGTGACCTTGGTGCCCCTGACGTGCCCCTGGTGACACAGAGGTGACCCTGGTGACACAGAGGTGGCTCAGGTGCCCCTGGTGACACAGAGGTGACCCAGGTGCCCCTGGTGCCCCTGACGTGTCCCTGGTGACACAGAGGTGGCAGCCAGGTGAGCCGTGTGTCGCTGTGTCCCCAGGGCAGCTGTACAGCATCGTGTCCTCGCTGAGCAATGAGCACGTTCTGTCAGCCGGCTTCGACATCAACACCCCCGACAGCCTGGGCAGGACCTGCCTGCACGCAGCCGCCTCGGGAGGGTGGGACACACCTGGGGACACCTGGGGACAGCTGGG